TTTCAGAAATAATCCTTGACGTGGTTTAAACAGGATGGCGTTTTATCACAGCAGAATTTAACTTTATCTCCGGTAGAATTCTGATCAGGCATTAGCTCCGCCTCCTCTTGTTTTGTTTTTTCAAGCTAAGGACCCAAGGTCCGCGTTTCTCTAACAGGGCTGCAAAAAAGGAGTATGAGCAGTATGAGGCATGGCTACAATGGGGGATCTGTTCAGTATTTTGAAAAAAAAACTTCACAGACATGTTTTGTATAGGTATGGCCCTACAATATACTGTATGTTTCAAATATAGCATGATAGGTCCACTTTAAATTATAAAAAAAATCTTTAATCATACTATCATTAATATATATATTTTTTGTTTGTCTCTATTATGTTTGTTTCCTTCCTTAAGCACTTTCAATCACTGGAAACTTTCCCCAACATAGCCTGGGTGTGTATCTTAATGCGATTACATCCTACATTCGCATTTCTTTTGTGTATTGGTTTCTCAGATTCAGTCTTAAAACTCGTTGGACGACAAAAACAGACCAGAGGACAGTCTTTACTGACTCCCTGCACCAGTATGTATGTGGTCTGGCTTCCCCGTGCTGCACTGAAGCCTTAGTTGAAGTTGCCAGGACCTCTGGTGGATCAGGAGGCCAGAGTTGGGTCCAAAAGCGTCAAAAACTCGTTCTGAAACTGCTAAAAAACCTTTGTCAAAGCAACACCCTGACTGGACCAAAGGTAGAGTATGGACTTAAGTGAGATCCGACAAATTGATATAGTCATTATTACCCATTCTTTGTTAACTGATGCTTCCTTCTGACATCTTCCCAGATATTGGACCTTTGCCACTGTGTCCAAGAGAGTCAGGACCACCAACTGGCTAAGCAGGCTTTGGATGGGAGATCCACCCTGGAGCTGCGCAACATCCGGCTATTACCTACGGATATTGATGCTTTAGCTTTTGTAGTTAGCTCAGCAGAGGGTAATGGCATTGGATTGGACTTTGGAGCTTGCTCAATGGAGTTGGAGTGTTTCGATGTCCTGCCAAGGTGTCGGTACATTCACTCCCTCAGGTAAATCCACACAAACAATCACACATGAGGCGCGTTCACACCGGAGTACTTTTCCCCGTACTTTTCCCGTTTAGTTCCGATAGTGCCTGGAATTTTGCATTCACACCAAAAAGAGTACTTAGTTCCGAGAAGTTTTACCCCCATTTGTAGTGCCTGCTAGAGAGGTGGTACTATCCTGGGGAGAAAAAAGTACCAATTTCGATTGGCTGGGCGAATTGCAAACCACGCCCCGTAAAACTCTGAAAAATGTTGTGAAGCCGCCATTGTATTTGCTTGCAATAGCATTATTAGCATTAGCATTATTAGCATTAGCCCAGCGCACCAACGGAGAGAGAATAACTTATGGCAACACAAAAGAAAACATGGGAGCGGTGTAGTAATGAGGAGGTGTCGGCGTTCTGACGATTTACAGTAGAATTTCAGTAGAAGCTGCTGGGAGTCCCAGCAGCTTCTACTGAAGCCAGTCCCCAACTCCGGGGACTTCCGGCCGGGAATTTCGGGTGGCAGTATACGCCGTGAAGTGGTTTGCGGCCTGCCAGTAAACCCAAAGCAGAAGAAGAAAAAGTGACGTCAGCGGCTTCATTTGCGTAATCTTCCCGCAGGGAACTTATTCCGGTGTGAACGCAATCTGTACTTAGTTCCATGGGGGTACTAAGTGCTGGCACTAAGTACGGCAAAGTACTTGGTGTGAAAGCAGCTATGATATAGTTGCAAGCACTGTGAACCTTGAAATGTGGAGTACCCCAAGGTTTTCTGTAGGGCTGCCCTCGACTAAAGATTTTTCTTGTCTACCAATAGTCGTCAATTCAGTTGATTAGTCAACTAGGCTAGGCAAATAGACTAACAGGGGAAACATACTCAGGAAATAGGTGACAAGCAGTTCTGTTTTGTAAACTTCTCAGAAACAACGTATCATATACGCTAGGTCAAGTTTTAGATAATGGTCTCACTACAATGACATGGCTACTATAGGGACTACTATAATGATCCCACATGAATAAAAGTGGGCCCATGAATCCACAAGAGTCTCCGGTAATAGCCAATTTATGCAATTCCACAACTTGAGGCACCCCAGTATGCAGAAATAATCAAATACAAGATTTTTAGGCTAGGCAAAAATAACACATTTATTCTGATTGCGGAAACTCTGATTAATGCACCAAACTGCATGTGATTAGCATAGAGTAAAGAGTCTGTCAACATGGTTTAGCCACTGGACGTATAGAGGGTGATTTAACAGCAACAGAGAATTTCACTTAGGAAGGAGCGGCTGTTTTGCATTCCACATTCCTCAGCTCATTGACCAGCTGTCCCACAAACTTTAAATCTGACAGAAGCTCTTTGTTTCCTGTTGTGTTCCTGTGGTGGGCTCAGTCTCTCCGTAACAAGTACAGTCACTTGGGTTCAAGAAAAACACAACAGCTGACACTTTTAAATATAAAACATAAAGTCTTCATTGAATCCGGCAAGGGCACGGATTGAAAAGCTGAAGTTTATCAGGTAAAAGTGAAAACATGGATTCAAGCACACTAGACTGTGTGACCGTGCTGAGGGAAGGCTCCACGTGAAGGCGAACATGGATAATAACTATAACAAGCCAGGAAATACCAGCAGCCTCTGTGCCATGTGTCCCACTATCAGGGTCGCAAAGACCTCCCATGGAGTTAGACTAGGCTTGTTGTGTAAACACACATAAAAGGTCCAAATTAACAGATATGTAAATAAAAAAGTATCTCAAATATTGATCCAAACAAGTAAAATAATGTGCAATAAAAAGATAAAATAAAGATATTTATATAAACACAAGAAGTTAGAATGAAATGTCCAATAAAATGTGAATATAATAGTTATAACAACAATAACAACAACAGTAAAAACCACAATAATAATGAATAATAATTAATAACAATAATTAATAATTAATTAATAATAATGAATACTTAATGAATAATAATGAATATCAATAATAATAAATAAAGTTAAATAAATATAAACAATAAAAATATGTATACAAACATAAGAAGTTAAAATAAAATGTCAAATATAAGATACAAAAAATAACTATTTATATACAAATATATCCTTTTGTGTACTTAATAAATTATGCACATATTTCGTAGCGTCTCAGTTTCCATACATGGGGGCATGTTTCATTAACCTTTCACTTTACTTTTGTGTGTCTTCAGTTTCCGCAGCCGCAAGTATGGAGACAAGTTTGCTGAGAAGTTGTCCTCCATTCTGCCAAATTTCACAACCCTGAGAAAACTGGAGTAAGATTTACATATTTACTTACTTCTTACTATGGATGGATTGTGAAACATTGGGCACCTCGTTTTTGTTCTTAGGAGCCAGACTCTGCCTTTGTAATGCCTCTGTTTTTGGTTGTTGTTTTGCTTCTCTTTGCGTGTCATATATTTCTGTGGTGTTTATATGGTGTCTCATTTTAGTCGCATTTGCAGAAATGCTGTTTGTGTGTATTTGTGGTTGCTCTTTGTATTGTTTTGCCCCTTTTTGTGCTTCTTTGTAAGTATTTAGTGTCCTTTTCTGTATCTTTGTGGTCTTTTACTCTCTTTTTGTGGTTGTTTGCTCATTTTGTAGTAATTTTGTGTCTCTTTGAAGCCATTTTATATTTCTGTATCGACTGATTGGCAAATGTTGTCTTCTGCAGGTTTTGTTGTGCCAGTCTGACTGCCACAGGAGCGGCTAGTTTGGTCTCTGCTCTCCAAGACTGTCCAGACATCACTGAAATCAAGTATATATATTTATATATAGTAGAAATATTTGCAAAAAATACATGTATTGCTACATTAAATAACATGTCATCCAGAGGCTTCTGTGTTTGTCCTCAGTTTTATGGAAATGTGTGAACAGATTGCTTTGTGTCTGACTGGATAAGATAGCTGACTCTTAATATCTGATGTAATAGTGAAAGATTTTGGGGTGTAGATCTAAACTTCACAATTATTTTTTTGTTTTTGCAGTCTGAGCGACAACAATCTTAAAGACGAAGGGATCAAACATGTAGCTGATATATTTCCTAAACCACTAAGACTGATCTCTGTAAAGTAAGTACAAACTGGATGTAACATTTGGAAACTTTTTCTAAACAATACACAAAACAATTGATTTCTTGAATTAAATAGAGGATTTAAAATTGTACCTGTTTCCTGAGGAAAAAGGTTCACAGATAATAATTAAAGTTATTAGCATGATCAAGGAGTTATATGAATTGACGGTCTCTAAAAAATAAATTGGGAAACAAATTAGTTTTTGATTTATTTTACCACAAACCATTTTAAGGTATCATAACAAAAAATGAAATGGGACGAAATTAGCTCTGACGAAGATTGGTATTATATAAAATAATAAATACGTTCTGCATGCCACGGTCGACATTTTAATTTGTAATTTTGGAAGGGATACTGATATTTATTTAATATAAATATTTTATTTTATGCATTTATTACATTTTTGTGCATGCGCTAGTATTGTCTTCCCATCATACTATTATGTGTGTGTGTGTGTGTGTGTGTGTGTGTGTGTGTGTGTGTGTGTGTGTGTGTGTGTGTGTGTGTGTGTGTGTGTGTGTGTGTGTGTGTGTGTGTGTGTGTGCGTGCGTGCGTGCGTGCGTGCGTGCGTGCGTGCGTGCGTGCGTGCGTGCGTGCGTGCGTGCACCTTTGCAGGCTGGGTCGAAACAACAGCTCTCTGGAAGCAGTGGACTATCTCATCGGCAAAATGTCTTCATGTTTGAACTTCCAGAACTTTAACGCAGAGTACGGCCGCAACCATGCACACACACACAGTGCCAACTGCAATATTTAACATAAAGACCATACAGTACCTCCACACACATTGACATGTCCCACTCAACAATTTCAATATTTGCCTGGAATTTATTCACTCCTCCCCTCATGCCCCAGTTAATTAGTGTCTTCTCAGTCACATACAGTATTGAGTCTTACCAATTTACTTTATAGACCTCAAGGAAGTGAAATAAAAAGACATCATAACGAAAAATTGTCTTTCTTTGCAGTGGGATGAAGGAATTGACAGTAACTTTCTCCCAAACCTCAGATTTGAACCGGTGAGTTTAATGGTTGGAAGTGTCTATGAATAACATAAAATGAGAGCTGCACATATTAATGTCTGTCTTTTTGATGTATTACCATCCACAGCCATAAAACTAAGTCTGAACCGATAATCAGGTAGGACAATAACGCTCTTATCAAATACTCACTCCTTTCCAGATTTTTACTAGCATAGCCAGCTTCCTTGAAGACCTTTGCTCCCCCCCTTTGAATGAGGTGCTATAACCTGATTGTAATTTTTTACAATCTTGATCAGAAACAACCTATAAAACCGTTAAGCAGCTGGAAAAAAAGTTTAAATTCTTGTGGTGTAGATTTGAATTTGATTAAATTTAAGCCCCGGCCCCACGAGGACGATAACGGTCGTTTGCGTTACTGT